TGTTGAGACCTATAAACTCTTGTAAAGCTGAAAAATGGTGCGAGCGGTCCGCATGGGCCACAGAAAGTAACCAACAACAGAACCTTCACAAGGTGACCTGTACAAGCATGGCTGTTAGCCATTCGATGCCCCACCAAGCCGAACTGCGTCAACGATTGCATGTATGGTAATAGGTGTCCAACTTGCTTTATCGTCGTGACCGCAGTTTCTCGCAGTCTGAAAGTAACCACAACAACGCTGCCAGGGGTCAAAACTGACCTCTTGCTTATCATGCTGGTCTGTCACCACCACACCATCAGGGCCTTCTTCTCAACTCACTAGGTTGATGGCTGTGTCATGAGTAACTGGCAAGCTAGCATGTAATCGCTACCCTGAGAGGGATATCGCATCTCTAGTGAAGTAACTGTTAGCACTCTAAGCCGGAAAGGTGCAGGTTTAATTCGGCCGAGGTCGAGTCTTTTGCCCTAGACTTAACCACAGGGGCAACAAACCATAGATCGAAACATTTATTTGTGCACAAAAACCCACAATCATCTTATACAAATATTTACATTGAAATTCGTTAATCGACGATTATCAGTGCTTCATAGTGATGATCGCCTCGTCAAGAATTCTGACCATAGCGACAGTTTACCTTCTTCCCCATAATCCAAGTCCACCTGAACGCAAATGTTAGAAAAGATTCAATGGCACTTTCCACGTTAGTCGCATGGGCGGAGTCAGTTAGAAAACATTGGCGTCCATCCAATCTGTCAACTGCTAAGGACCAATGAGAAGCAGGTGAAGCGACCCAGCCCATACGATGAGCGCGAAATGGTTCTCCAAGTCATGATGTCACAAAGATCGAGGGAAAGACTCACCGTAATACGGGTTGAAACCACCACCGTAGCCACCGTAGTAGCCGCCCCGCATAGTAGCACGATGGTGGTGGTGCTCATGTGAATGGGAGTGAGAGTGATGATGGTGATGGTGCCCTGAAAGTAATAAAGTTTGGATTCTGAAAAAGAAGGGAGGAGATTTTCGTTCCTTCCCTATTCCTTCCCCTTATCGTCACCTCTTACCTCGAAAAAAAATCTGGTGTAGTCGCGGAAAGATTCTCTTTGCACTCAGTGCAGGAGCTCCTACTGGGAGAAATTTTGCAAACTACGACCTAACCAACGTTCCTTCCGCTGAAGGCCCCTCTCCCATTCTACCTACCATATTGCTGTTGTCAACTTTCTTTTTCCTAGTTTTCCAGAATTTTTGAGAGATTTTTCAGCTCTACTCTGAAAAAGGCCGTCGAGTAAGTGAACTTGGAAAAGATAGGAGGTTGGAAAAAGCCAGTGGGATGGTAGGTATGAGGGAAGGGGGTTGGTCGTACAGGAAGAACTTGTGGGGGGGGCGAGAAGAGCAAAGAAGAGAGAAAGAAGCCACGGGGTTTCGTTATTGAAACAACTTCTAGACCTAGCTAATCGAAAATGGTAGCTATATACGATTCCGACTGCGGTGATGTCAGTCGAGTCTTATAAATCTGTAGTGCGGGGGGGAAGTACGATCACTCAGTCCTGCAACCAAGTACGACCCCCCCCGCTGGGGACTTTCCGGCCTGCGAAGTGCCGCCTTTGCCGCCGACCCTCAAGTCGCTTCTATCTCTTTCTATTGACCTGGGTGGGCGAGACAGAAACGGTAAAAACTCCAAATTCAGTGAGAACTCCTTTCCCATCCTAGGTTTCAATTGACGCTGATGACCCCCTTGAAGTTTGCCATGACCCATTAACCGATTGTTAGCTCTTTTGCGAGTGATTAAAATCGACGAGTAATTAGGCCTAAACGTACATAGCCATCGAATTCCGCTTTGCTTTTTTCCCCTCACGTCACTAGCCGGACTAGGACAGGTCGGGCAGTGACGTGAAGAACAAAAAACCCAAGGACACCTATCGCCTTCGCGGCCTTGGGGTTTTTTTCCTTTGGTTTTTGTGTATATTTTGATAAAAAGTGGAATGTCATATGGGATTCCTGTGCTGATGTAAACTACACTGAGGCCACGTCACACGCTGGTGATCGCCAACGGGCTGTATTCGGTTGGTGGAGAGGAGAGGGTAGTGTTCGGATGGGAAAACTTTTTCTGATCGCTAGTACAGCATAGCCTTTTCTGACCACTTTTATAGGTGTCGAGGGGATCTAATCCCATCTGCTCATCGGCAAGTTCTTGAGAAAGATTTGATGAGTTTTTTTTTGTGGAAGGAGGGTCGTACCGGAGAAGAAACTCTGGTAAGAGGGGCAGCATCCCTTCCTCCTTCCTAGGCCGTATCCCAATCCCCGGCAGGAAATCCACAGCGCTAATTTTTATCATATTTCTATAGCAAAAAGGTAAACATCACACTTACTCCACTGAGCTGAAACGGTCATGACGAAAGCCAGTAGAAGAATGGTTACGAACAGTTTCATTGTTTATTCTGAAAGCATTTTTTAAGAAGGTGCTCAGAAATTAAGCAAAACGAAACCTGTCCGTTAGCGTGAAGGTAGTAGAAGGATTTAGCTCAAGTGCAGAATGCCCGTCCCAAGCAGAACAGCGCCTGCTTCAGAAATCGGTAA